CCCCCCCTTCCCTACGCCCAAAAAAAATAATCCAAAAAGCAATAACTTTTCTTTTTACCCCACACACCACAAATAGTCACTGTTCTTGTTGTCCACGCGGGTGATAATTTTTTTTGGTAAGAGTTTACGGCACTTGCAACACAATAAGGTCATATAAGTGCCGAAGATAAGAGGTGTTACAAGAGAATAACAAACATAAAAAAGAAGGAGGGGAGATAAGGACGATAGGTGTTTGATAGGAAAGAAGGAGTAAACCACACCAAGGCATCCACCAACCACCCACTCAGGAAGTCTGAGGTTGAGTAGAAAGCACATCAACACAAGAACAAACATATTGTGAATACATATGTAGAAGAACCAAAATACAGAAAGACAGAATCAACAGCAGGGAAAGAAAAGAAGTAGGACCTACCAGTGGCACCCTCTAACCACCGGCAGCATTCAGTAAGACACAGAAAAAGAACCAAACAAACAAACAACCAAACAAACAAAAACGAAACCATACAACAAAACAAGCAAATTATCAAAAACCAAACCCCAACCTGTTGCATTTGGATTGTATTGGGATCACACCAGCATAGACCAGTCTGAACAGAGCACTCAATCAATGCAAAAGAAAATGCGAACCTCGAACCTCGGGGGAAGGAGGTCGGCAGGGGGGGTGAGGTTACCTTAACATCCAGCTGAGCTGTGAATCTATAAACAAGGTTATAATTGTAGCTTTAATCAATCGACGAGCGAGGTGAAACAACAAGGGAGCTAATTGCCCTGTTGGCTTATATTGAACCGCTCGGCAATGTCAACAACGGTTACAACGTCCGTTACATGACTCCATGCAACCTTAGGGCATAACGATCGGTTGGAGGGGGGGAAAACGACAACTCCGCAAAAATTTTTTTGCAAAATCTGAGTTTTTTAAAGAGTTTCAGTGAAAGTTTTAAAGCACTGGCAACACAATAAGGTCATATAAGTACCGAAGATTTGAGGTGTTACAAGAGAGTAACAAACACAAAAAAGAAGGAGGGGAGATAGTTTAGTTTTAGTAAGAGGTTTTTGCAACACAATAAGGTCATGTAAGTACCGAAGATTTGAGGTGTTACAAGACAGTAGAAAACACAAAAAAGAAGGAGGGGAGATAAAGGCGATATATGTTTGATAGGAAAGAAGCAAACACCAGAGCAGCCGCGAGCCACCCACAACATCTAAGATTTAATTAAGAGTTAAGATATACGAGAGCGCATTCATCGATGGTATATTTTATGACAAATTCCTAGGCTCTTAACGTCACATCTGCCGGGGTTATTTTGTGTTACACAACGTCACATTTAGTAAATTGATTCCTGCCAAAACTTCCAATTTAATTAGGAGTTCTGTTCCTCAAAAATGTAACCTAGACTCTATTTCTTTTTTTCTTCCTTTCTTCCTTTTTTGTTTTTGTTGTTGTTGAAAAATTGACAATCTTGCTTTGTGTCCACGATAAAAGAAACCGTTTGTTTGAATAAACAGAAAGTACATGAACATGATAACAAACATCCAAACTTCGTGCCTCTATGGGAAATAAGATAGGAAATCAATATAAAACGACAGAAGAGGCAATATAAGAGGTAGGGGATGTTACCAGTGGCGCCCTCTAGCCACGAGTTCAAGAACCACTGAAAAGAAGTAGAATGTTTGTTCGTTTGTGTTTCAGTAGTAAAGAGAAACACACCGCTACAATGCGGCCAATTACTGTAGGGAAAGATACAATAAACATAAGAGGAAAGGGGGGAGGGGGAAGAAGTAATGAGTACATATGGCGCCCACTGGGGTAGCCACCCGGAGTAGGTGGAAAAAAACAACTACAACACAGCGCAAACCAAAGAGAGAGA